GTTTTTTGCAGGCTTAAGGTAAGTATACGGTAGAAAGTAAAAACCACGGATTTGCCTCAAAAGTGCTCTACCAATGTTAATTGACATACTGATCACGAATATGATATCTAAGGCATTATGAGATATTAGGCACAAGACGATCGTACATTATGGCAGTGAACGGTAGGGGTTAATGAATCCGCTTGTCATTCAAGGGGTTATTTGACTAATCAGACATTCATTTCACATTATCATTTCTTATAAGATTTGGATAAGATCCAACTCTCTTGCTTGCCTAAATCTCTGACTAAAGAATCAATCCCTGCATTCGCCATAACAATGAATTTGTACCGAATAATTCAATGCTTATGATCAGTAATGCGAAACAACTTCATGCGCATTCATGATCGGCCCTCTATCGTCTACATAGCCCTAAAGTACCGCGTCTCGCAGTGCATATGATATTGGTGATCAGTATGCAAAATAACCTCAACGAACCACTTTTCAGGCAGCTTCGTGCTTTTAACACCATATTGCCTACCTGCCGCAACCCTACAGTAAGACTGTATTTCCCGGAAATGATAATATACTCATGGTCAGGATGTCAAACAACCTCCCATGCGAAGTTTCAGTAAAATCTAAGATTCTGAAACTTTGTGGCCAGGTTTTCTAGCGCCATTTGGTCTTTATGCTTTACCCGCGTAAATCTTCCTTAAAATTACATCTTCACAGATCATGCAGAGCATCAATTGGTTCCCTTTTGAAATCAACCTTTCTCAATAAACAGGCAATGCTTTAGGCATTTGATTGGAAATCAGGGTCAAGCATGATGATATGACCTTGGATGAGAGCAGAGTTCTCTCTGTAAATGATAATTATGAAGGTTTCCCACGGTACGATGTTTATATGATTAAGATGGAATGCAAAATCATCAAGAGTTTGCCTGAAAAAGGAATCTCATGGCTTTTATTGACTGCTGATTACAAAAAACACATCCACCATGGCAAGGCCTTTACATGGTAGAGAAATTGTCAAATTTTTCTTTTTCCAGTTAATCTGTGATTTAACCATTGTATACCCACCCACCATAATTTTACAGTGAGGGCTTATTGTGCTATGTGAGCATTAGTTTGTAATCAGCATGTCAAACAACTCAACCACCTTATCAGAAAAATTTGGATTATTGCATAAAACCATTGTAATCCTACTGTAGGGCCCTATCATGGGAAATGTGCAGCTAATCAGCATATCCAAATACTCCCCAAGCTGGCATTTTAGCATTCTAGAAAAATTAAGTTGTCGGGAGCTTTTTCGGTCCATCCAGTCCCGTCAATTCTAATTTAACACAACCAAAATTATTACAGAGCTAAGCAATCTTGTAGA